TAGAAATTATGTGACCTGGAAACATCTGGGGGTATGGCACAGAACATTTTGGTTTGTTGAAAATCACTATGTCTGAATCAAAGAGACAATACTATGTAAGATAATGGTAAATCATTTAGCGTGAAGTCTGCCATGACAATCTCTACGGGATAGATACCCTGTTTTATACAAAAGTTCAGACATCAGACTTAGAAAACATGTGAGGTAAACAGCTGAAAGAAAAGAAATCCTTGCACTAGTAAAGTGTAAACAAAATATACATTTTAATTTTCACAGTAGCATTTGAACCAATCTATTTTTTTTTCATTGTAAAACCTTGACATTCTATTCTTAAATTTTACAAGGTGCTTAAATTATCTGCACATTTTCCAGATACTCACAAGACATGTTAAATTTTGCCAGGCTTAGATGGTAAATCAAAGTGTTTTAGAATAAAAATACAATAACTGATTTTACGGAGTGCTGTTAACTGTGACAGAAATTACAGGGTTATATATTTTTTTAATGTTTACAAAAAAATATAAAAAAGTCTGACCCCCTGTTTGCAAACCCTACACATCTGCAGATTGCTATGCATCCTCATGGCAAGGGGGTCACAAATGCGGCACCACAAGCCATGTTGATACCATAGGCTCCTTACTCATATCTCACCTGGTGGTTGAGAAGTGAAGAAGTAAGCACATTTACCTGCTGCTGTATTTATCTAGTGCACATTATAAATACATTATATTGCCAAAAGTATTGGGACACCCCTCCAAATCATTGCATTCAGATGTTCCAATCACCTCCATGGTCACATATGTATAAAATCAAGCACCTAGGCATGCATACTGCCTCTACAAACATTTGTGAAAGAATGGGTCACTCTCAGGAGCTCAGTAAATTTAAACGTGGTACCGTGATAGGTTGCCACCTGTGCAATAAGTCCATCTGATATTTCCTTGCTATTAAATATTCCGCGATCAAATGTTAGTGATATTATAACAAAGAGGAAGCAACTGGGAACAACAGCCACTCAGTCACTTAGTGGTAGGCCATGTAAAATGACAGAGCTGTGTCAGCGCATGCTAAAGCGCACAGTGTGCAGAAGTCTCCAACTGTCTGCAGAGTCAATAGCTAAAGAACTCCAAACTTTATGTGGCCTTCAGATTAGTACAACAACAGTGCATAGAGAGCTTTATGGAATGGGATTTCATGGCCAAGCAGCTGCATCCAAGCCTTACATCACCAAGTGCAATGCAAAGTGTTGGACGCAGTGGTGTAAAGCACGCTGCCACTGGACTCTAGAGCAGTGAAGACGTGTTTTCTGGAGTGACCAATCATGCTTCTCTGTCTGGCAATCCAATGGACGTGTATGGATTTGGTGGTTGCCAAGAGAACGGTACTTGCCTGACTGCATTGTACCATGTGTAGAGTTTGATGGAAGAGGGACTATGGTGTGGGGTTGTTTTTTCAGGGGTTGGGCTTGGCCCCTTAGTTCAAGTGAAGGGAACTCTTAAGGTGTCAGCATACTAAGACATTTTGGACAATTTCATGCTCCCAGCTTTGTGGGAACAGCTTTGGGATGGCCTCGTACTGTTCCAATATGTTTGCGCACCAGTGCACAAAGCAAGGTCCATAAAGACATGGATGAGTGAGTTTCGAGTGGAGTAACTTGACTGGCTTGCACAGAGTCCTGACCACAACCCTATAGAACACCTTTGGGATGAATTAGAGCAGAGACTGCGATCCAGGCCTTCTTGTCCGACATCAGTGCCTGACCTCACAAATGCGGTTCTGGAAGAATGATCAAACATTCCCATAGACACACTCCTAAACCTTGTGGACAGCCTTCCCAGAAGAGTTGAAGCTGTTATACCTGCAAAGGGCGGGCCAACTCAATATTGAACCCTACGGACTAAGACTGGGATGCCATAAAAGTTCATGTTGGTGTAAAGGCAGGGGTCCCAATACTTTTGCCAATATAGTGTAGATGTACATCAGAAACTGTGAATGGGAATGTCAGGTGATCACTGGTAAATAAATTTGTAATTTCCTGCTTGAGTAAAAAACTATACACTAAGATACAAGTCAGGTTTTAGGCATCCTCTGAAACAAAAATATAATTTTTAGTGAGAAACTCCTTAAGAGTTAATCACAGCTAAAGGAATGCAGACACTGCAGCTTTTCTCTTCATAACACTTCATAACACTCACTGTGTAACAGCTGATTAAAATGAAATAGACTCATATAGATTATATTCAAAATCATTGAGCACAGGGCAGTGGCTAACAAAGAGCTATTCCTTCAAAGTATAAACAGGTAAAAATGTGCAACAAAGTTTGTTAAAATCTTTGCGATGTACATTGATCACCCAGAGTGGATTGTTTGTTCTCAGCAGAAGTGGATTCACTCTTTATCAGTTGTAATAATTATATTGAAATATGGATAATGACACTTTAAATCATGTCAAACATATAGTTATATTTTATGTAGGTATAAAAAAGTCAAAAAGTATTAGTTTATTTATGTAAAAACTACTAGTTGTTATTCACATTCGGCTGGACTTGTTTTGTAATGCTGAAGAAATTGGGGGTTATTTCTAAAACTGAAAAGTGCAAAATCTTTGTCTAAAAGGTCAGCTTCCAGTTTTATTGTGATAGCTTAACTGAACAAGCTAGCTAATCATAGCTGCACCAGATTCTGAGTGTTAGGTAGCATATGTCTACTTTATCTCTTCTAATGTCAGGAAAATACCCTAGCATAGGCAGCACAGTGGCTAAATGGTTAGCACTTCTGCCTTGGCAGTACTAGGGTTATGTAAATCCCAGCCATGGCATACTCTGCCTGGAGTTGTGTATGTACTCACTGTTCGGCTGGGACTTCAGTTTTCCCAATCCTACATGCTGTTAATTAATTGGATCCTGTCTAAATTGGTCCTAGTATATGAATGTAGGTTAGATCATATGCTCCTTGAGGGTTAGGGACTGACCCTATATATATATGTACAATATAATGTACAATATATATATGTAAAGCACTGCATAAATTGATGGTGCTATATAAGTACCTGAAATAAATACATTTATTTCCACCCATGTATCACAGTCACCTTAATCCAAGTACAATGGAATGCGTCAAGGCAGATGTTGATTGCCCAAGAACAAAATAAAGCTGGGTGTACACTAAGTTTTTCTTTTCAACGATCTGGTTGAACAAAAAAAAACAAACCACATATTTCTGCATCCACACAATCTGCCCCCGCTGCACTATTGTATTCTGACAGCTGGTACTCACCCCCCCCCCCCCCCAAGTCAGAATACACTGATTAGTGGTGCTGAAGCCATTGGCGCAGTGACTAAGTGAATGCTGGTTTTCCAGCAGGACCGTTTAAAAGAATTATTTATTTATTTATTTATTTATCGAGTTTATATAGCGCCAAAGGGTTTGCTCAGCGCTGTACAATAGAGGCAATACATGAAACAGAACAGTAACATCAAACAGCACACGAGGGGTTAGAACTCTTTTGATACAATGATTAGGAAACGGCTGTGGGGGATGGAGTGGTAGGAGGAGGGAAGGGCAGCGGCTGTTAGGTGATTGGGGTAGGCTTCCCTGAAGAGGTGGGTTTTCAGGGAGCTAAGGTGACAGTCTGATGGATGGGGTAGTTTTCCAGCAGGACCGTCGTTGGGAGGAGGAGACCAGGGAGCAAGATAGAAGGAGGTCCATCGAAGGGTACGGGTAGGGTGGTACCTGGGAATCAGGTCGGTGAGGTAGTTAGGGGCAGTGTTGTGAATGGCCTTAAGGTCTGAGCAATTTAAATTTAATGCGTTGGGCAATGGGGACTAGTGGAGGGAGAGGCAGAGAGGTGGAGCGGCTGGTGAGGTGGATGAGTCTGGCCGCTGAGTTCAGGATGGTCTGAAGCTGCACTGGGGTAGGCCGGTGAGGAGGGAGTTGCAGTAGTCCAGGCGTGAGATAATCAGGGAGTGTACTAGTAGTTTAGTGGTGTCTGGGGTAAGGAAGGAGCGTATAGTCCCATGTGTTTGTTCTTATGATATGAGGTTGAAAGGAAAGGTGAGTTTCCAGAATGACCAGGACCCTGGCTTGCTGGTGTTCTTATCCAATTGGTGTTCTTATCCAACTGGGTTCTTATCCAAGAGGTTGAGTTTGAGGAAATCTTATCCAGTCAGAGATGTCGTCTAGAATGGAGTCTAATGATCCGTTGTTTTGTTGAACAGAGAGGGCTAACATAGATCAAAACAAACAGAGAATCTATTCTAAAATCATGAATCCACCAACTGGTGTTCTTATCCAATTGGTGTTCTTATCCAACTGGTGTTCTTATCCAACTGGTGTTGTTATCCAACTGGTGTGTTATCCAACTGGTGCTCTTATCCAAGTGGTGTTCTTATCCAACTGGTGTTCTTATCCAGCTTGATATCCAATAAATAATGCTTTGCTCTTTCACAAAGGTTCATATTTATCTTATACAAGTATTGTATTTTATAAATTCTCTGTGCCAAGACATATATAACTAATCTCATGTTATAATTCAAAGGTTGTTTTATCTTATATTACTTATTCGCACTACAAGACAAGTGGTTGATGTTTGTTTAACCGCCTCCTGCCCGCCATATAGTGTAATGACGGGCACAAGGCGGTTCTCTCGTTCTGAGAGGACGTTATCTGACGTCGTCCCATTCTAACCTTTGCATGCGTGGCACCGGGAGCACGCAGCGTGGGGATCGGTGGTGCGCTGTGTCCATCGGACACAGCGGATCATTAATCAACGGAAAGAGCTGAAGATGTCGGCTCGGTCATGTGATCAGCTGTGTCCGATCACAGCTGATTGCATGTAAATAGGGAAATGCCGGTTATCGGCATTTCTCTCCTCACGAGCTTTCACGCTGACAGGAGAGGAGAGCAGAGCCAGTAATCGGCATCCCTCAGAGGGGACATGTGCACTGATCATCAGGGCACTGATAATCAGTGTGCCCTGATGATCAGTGTAGCCCCAGCAGTGCCACCTGTCAGTGTCCATCAGTGCCACATCAATGCCACATATCAGTGCCCATCTGAGCTGCCTTTCAGTGTCACCCATCAGTGCCAGTCAGTGCCACCTATCAGTGCTGCCAATCAGTGCCACCTATCAGTGCCAGTCAGTGCCGCCTATCAGTGCCAGTCAGTGCCGCCTATCAGTGCCCGTCAGTGCTGCCTATCAGTGCCGCCTAACAGTGCCAGTCAGTGCCGCCTAACAGTGCCAGTCAGTGCCGCCTAACAGTGCCAGTCAGTGCCACCGAACAGTGCCAGTCAGTGCCGCCTATCAGTGCCGCCTATCAGTGCCATATATGAGTGCTGCCTTTCAGTGCCCATCAGTGATGCCTGTCAATGCCTATCAGTGCCACCTACCAGTGTCTCCTCATCAGTGCCCATCAGTGCCACCTATCAGTGTCCATCAGTGCAGCCTATCAGTGCCCATCACTGCAGCCTCATTAGCGCACATCAGTGAAGGAGAAAAATCACTTATTTACAAAACTGTATAACAAAAACTGAGAAAAAATGTTTTTTTTTTTTTTTCAAAATTTTCACTGGTTTTTGGTTTGTTTAAGAAAACATAAAAAACCCAGAGGTGATTAAATACCATCAAAATAAAGCTCTATCTGTCACAAAAAAATTATAAAAATGTCATATGGGTACAGTGTTGCACAATTGATATTCAAAGTGTGACAGCGCTGAAAGCTGAAAATTGGCCTGGGCAAGAAGGGGGTATAAGTGCCCTGTAGGCTAGTGGTTAAAAATGTACACGGAAATAACAGTTTTGCTAATGTGGGTGCTTTTTAGCCTTGAAATGTACTCCATTGCAAAGGCTCTGCAGTATACTTAATTTCTAGATAAAACTGGTATGTAGTACAGGGGCGGACTGACAACTCATGGGGCCCCTGGGGCAATAGGGGATCATGGGGCCCCTGTGTCCTTGCCCAAACTCAAAAAAGCCTATGAAAAAGGTACCAGGGGCATCTCATGGGGCCCCCTACTGACCCCGGGCCCTCACGCAGTGCCCAAATTTCCAAATGGTCAGTCCGCCCCTGATGTAGTATGAGTAGGAGACTCCTTTGTTTTCTCCATCTTCTCAGGAGCTGGCTAGGAGAATGTTATTCAATAGAGCAGGGGTGTCAAACTGGCGGCCCTCCAGCTGTTGCGAAACTACAAGTCTCATCATGCCCCTGCCTTTGGGAGTCATTCTTGTAACTGCCAATCTTGCAATGCCTCATGGGACTTGTAGTTTGGCAACAGCTGGAGGGCCGCCAGTTTGACACCCGTGAACTAGAATGTCCACAGCCAGGACTTTGGTGGAGAACTAGCATTTCCCTCCCATCACTCCACCATTCAACTCTGTGTACTGCTTCACAGGTGTGAGTCGACCTGCAATAGCTGTTTATTTTGTGGGACTACAAGGTGCAGCATCCAGTCTCATCCGTGTAAGTGACTCATGTGAGTATACCTCAGTGTTGCTTAGTAAACATACAGTTATTACATGAAGTTTAATTAATTACATTCACTATATGTATTTTTGGTGTTTAGTTGTTTATTTTTTGGCTTTCAGTGCCCTGTGGAGGACTTGATCTTGTAGTGTCAGCTGCTGTACATATCTTTGTATCTTTTGGTTCCTGTTTTGCACTGGGAAACCATGTTGTCATATTTAAAAGTTGTTTTATCCTACATTGCCCATTCATAGCACACAATATTACTACTTTGCTGTCATCTAAAAGGTTGCAACATCACACCTATAGCATCCAGTAATTCGCAAAAAAGCAGTTGAGGTTTGTTTGCTTAAAAACATACAAAGAGATAACAGTCGTACCAGTGAGGGAGCTTTTTAAGCCATGAAATGTACTCTATTACAAACACTCTGCAGTACATAACTACATTAAACTGGTAAGTATGTTTTTATAAGATTTTTAATTTCATAAAACTCTGTACTGTATTTGTTAAAAAAAAACTACAGGGGTAATTTTCTTCTCCCTCCCAATCCCTACAGTCCTCACTATGTTAGATAATAAATCAGTTCTTTCTTTATATTCTGCATATGTATATGCCGACTCTGTGCTTCTCCTTTTGTAGCTCCTCTGAAGAAACCAATATTTCATATCTATAACTTATTTCTCAAAATACTCCATACTCAAGCAATGTATTCATAGACAACATAATTGTAATTACTTATATTTCAGATGGCAGCTTTTAGCATGAGGAATTGAATTTCCAGAAGTTGGTTTCATATAGGATTGAATCCCAACTTTTGCACCTTCCATCGGAGCCCTTGGTGCCAAATCTATGGAATGTAAAAAGCAAACCTAATTATCAATCAGTGCAGCCACTACATGATTTCCCCTTATACCACAAAAATCATCAAACATATAAACATAAGATTGCATATCAATCAATAATTAAAAATAACGTGGTTGCATTCCACCCCTCAGTGAATAATGCAGCAGAAGATACTGCGCAGCCCACAAACCTTCACTATAAAATAGTAATAAAGTCCAAAATATGAAGTATGAAGTGGTAAGATCTTCCACCAAATTATCCATATGTACCACCAAATTATCCATGTGTCCCAATATCTTCTATAACTGATCACCAGTGGTACTCATGCATATGCCTCCCATGAACAATATATGCTCACCTCCAGACTAGACCCTGATGTCTGTTCAAGGGTCACATGCACTTGTGCCCCCTTCAAGGGATGTAAACAGGATGGCTCCAGATTCACTTCACCACAGATGGCTCCCACTGTTCCACATCCTCCACTCATATAAGAAGCATTATTTAATTCATGAAAGAAGAATAGGGACTGATAGTGTTTCCCATACAGTAAAAACATTTATTCAATATTTTAAATGACAGTCTGTGCACACAGTGCTATGTACAGCGCATATCAAACACAGGCAGATCTGTGTATCACCACCTCCACTTCCAACATCACGATGGCCACCTACTGACCCCTCTCCACTCCTATATGCGTTACTCCCAATCAAGTCTTCCTCAGTAGGGCATTTCACTGTCACTTCTTTATTCTAGTTTCATTCTCTCGAAAATTTCCCGTTCCTGTTTATTCAAATTATTAGACCTTAAATTCAATTTTTAAAGTTGAACTCTACTGACTTTTAGGCGATCTCTGAAAACCTATCTCTTCAGGGAAGCCTATCCTGCCCTCAGCTAATAATGGAATCTTCTACTCTTCCAACCAGTCCATCCCCCACAGTTACTACCTTTTGTACCACTAGCCCCTCCCTCCTAGATTGTAAGCTCCAAGGAGCAGGGCCCTCCTAACCCTCTTGTATTGAACTGTATTGTTGCTGTATTGTCTCCTTTTATGTTGTAAAGCACTGAGCAAACTGTTGGCGCTATATAAATCCTGTATAATAATAATAGTGCATGCAAATTTCCATGCACAATTGTTCATATCAACTCAGATCTCAAACAAATGAAATGGTTAGCTTACGTTTTAAAAAAAAACACTCTGTGTAGTCACTATACACAATAGCATTTGTGCACCGTGGTGCACCAACACAATATGGCCCATTCACATCAGCAGGTGTCTGTCATGATGCACATAACATGCGTGTGTTTTGTATATGTGTTACAGTGCAATGTTACAATGCATCATATTGCCTGACTTTCTTCTTTTTGATTAACCTTTTTGAAAATGACATTCATTCAGTACTATGAATGATATTGTATTGAGTTACACTGTCCTACCCTGGAAATGTATGGCTGTATCATTTTATTGCAACAGACACAGCTCACACATGACACCAGTGTAGGGACAAGGTCATCCAGTGAAAAAGACAAACATGCCAAGCTGCTTCAATCATCTTACCCATGCCTGATAACCACATCTGATCATTATACCTACATATAGAGTGCAGATGTCAGGATTGGATAAACTACAAAGTGCAAGGCTCAGGCGCAAAATAATAAATAATAACATGCCTGATAACCCATGCCTGATAACCACGTCTGATCATTATACCTACATATAGAGTGCAGATGTCAGGATTGGATAAACTACAAAGTGCAAGGCTCAGGCGCAAAATAATAAATAATAACGTGCCTGATAACCATGTCTGATAACCACGTCTGATTATTATACCTACATATAGAGTGCAGATGTCAGGATTGGATAAACTACAAAGTGCAAGGATCAGGAGCTATATAATAAATAATAACGTACAGGAGTCAGGAGAGGATAACGTATAGAGTGCAGAGGTAAGGTGTATGTATTATATAATGTGCAGGAGTCAAGAATGGGTAAACTACAGAGTGCGGAGACCAGAAGTTTATACATTCTAGTACACAGCAGTACCCCCTTTAAGGCATTTCACTCCTACAGTATATACATACAAACATTCAGATATATACATACAACCACCTATTTATGAACATGCTTGACCCAAGTGTCCCCTCTTTGACATTCTCTTTTATAATAAAGGCTCAAATCTTAACTCAAGTAAAATAAAAAAAAAAACACCCTTGCAGTGGGGTACCCCTCTCATTTACTCTAGAAGCAGAGGATTGATGAACAAATACCTAAAGGTTAAGTTCACCTTTAATAAAACAATAATACATTTTACCTATTTTTGCAGGAAAAAAAATTTGCATTGTGCATTTGTTTTTATTAAAAACAGGAGCCTGCAAAGTATTGCACCTGAGTTCCTGCAGACACTGCCTACATCTCTGTGCTCATACGCCTGTACAGCTGTCATTTTCAGAGCTGTAGACAGAGTGAATGAAGTACGGGTGTGCCAATCAGCGTGCCTGCAGTTCATTTAGACTACTAGCCTGTCTTCTGCAGTGACAGGTGGAACATGCAGTTTCTACATTCACAGATTCCTGTGAATGAATGAAGTGGCTGTGTGGGCAGAGCCATTCCATTTTCCAAAATGTCACAGTGGGTGAGGGGGAGAAGAACTTTTGCCCGCTGTCACACTGTGAGAGGAGGTGGTGCTGAAGAGGAGAAGGAGGCAACTAGAACATGTTACATCTTACACCATTAATATATGTGTGTAACATGTTCTAAAAGGCGAACCCATTCTTTAGGTTGGTACACGTGCACAGTTTTTTCTTTTTTTTGTTCAGCTGCTGATGATCGAACAAGGTTTTCTAGCAGTCCCATTCAGCAGAAGCTGATATACAGATCAGTCTCTGTCTAACAGGGATGGCTACACACAGATCAAGATTTGGCTGGTCCCTGCTGAGCTGGATGAATTTTGATCTGTGTGCACCCAGCTTTACCTTATTCTATGCTTCCGCAGGCTCCTTCCAGTGCTGGTCCCCTGCAGCTTCTGTGTAAGTTGTGACTGGCTGTGATCACTCCAGTCTCCTCATACCATAGAGGGTTAATGTTCCTGTATGGTATGTGATGATGTTGAGGCTTTGGTTGGAGGAGGAGAGCACTGCAGCTGGCTGGTACATAGAATCAGGCTAATGAAAGAGGCTCTTCTCCCC